CTTTATGTATTTAAATGTTTCTATCATATCCCCCCGTCTCGTCTTTCCTCCAAGCTATACATGTTAAGATCCTTTAACCTATCCTTATCCTTCTGGGGTGATGTGTAGAAATTTACCTGATTACTACAATTAAATAACTCATAACCATCATTTACCTGTGAAGATCTCAGTAATATGTCAATTCCAAGTAACTGTAATGTTTCTCTGTGTGTAAATTCAGCCCATCTGCCCCGAATCCCTGACAGTCTGCTCCTTTACCAGCTAATATAATAAAAGCCAGAGAATACCCAGTTACCAGGGGTGTCTGACAAACTCGCTGCGTAATATTTAACCCTATTTTTTCTGTTTTAAGCTTTTCAGCAGCTGCTGGGAGGAGAGCCAGACCAGACTTCACAGTTGTCACTTTACTGCTCACATGTAGATCAGATTGCACAGAAGGTGATTTTTATTATTTATATAGTGCCAACAAATGCCGTGGTGCTGTACATCATTTGTCATCAGCTTGTGTGTTCTTGTGTTGTTTTTTTTTAAACTCTCTTCACTGAGAAAAGCAGAACAAAAAGGGTGAAGTCAAGTGAGGACCCATGGGTCACAGGTCTCTAAACTCCCCGGCTGTGAAATCAGGGGAATAAAAACATTAGGAAACCCTTCAAGCAACGCAGCCGATTCATTGGGGGGGTTTTCTCTACTTGTTTTTAGTACAAGTTTTGCTTGACACCAGCTTCTTACTTTGAGTCATGTGAGTGTTAGATCTGACAGCAGCTTGTTACGAGGGATGGCGTAGCATGGCGTGAAATGACTTTGGGCATTTAGAGGTTTGTGAATAGTCAGCAGATCCCAATTTTGAAAGAGATTGGCTGCACTCTTGGTATTATTATTATTATATATAAAGCGCCAACAAATTCCATAGCGCTGTACAATAGGTGGACTAACAGACAGACAAACTGAACGCACAGGATCAGAGGGTGTTAAGGGCCCTGATCAATGAGCTTTCATGCTAGAGGATCTCTCTGAGTTGGACGATGATAAAAAACTAACATCGAATTCTGACATAATTTCTGCAACACCAAAGCCACGCACCAAAACAGCCACACTGGGCAACGTGTTAAACCCATAGACAGAACGTTCCTGCTGATTGTCCTATCGCTAAAACACTCAGCACAGACAGAGCAGGACTAACGCTATGCAGCCACCCGGGGGCTAGACAGGGGCCCTCGACCCAGTAACCATCTGTATGCCCAAACTAGTAACCGGCCCTGGGTCCGAACACGAAAACCAATTAAATGTTCCTACTGATTCTTCCACTTCCAGAACTTTGTCCAGGATTGTCCTATCTTTGACCCAGGGAAACTTTAAATATTGTTCCCAACATTTTCATCTGCATTTTTATGAAACAATCTGCCGCTGCTTCTTAAAATATAACGCTACCACAGTGCCAATCACATTTTATGACCATTTGAAGATTTACGTCAGTAAGAAATCACATAAATTAACTAAAAATAAACTTTATTTATACTCTCGCCAGTTGTGAGTGGGTAATATGTGGTGTGCTTATGTGTGTGTGCGATGTGAGCAGAGTCTGGAGTATATTCCATAAAAATATTATTGATTGATTTGCTAACGTATAACTATTGGATTTACCAAAAATAAATATCTATGAACGTTAGCGTGAATATACTAAAAATGTTCTGGAATTTCTCAATTTCTGCCTCTTGTAGCTTGGGATTAATAGAAAATTGTATAATTACAGCTCATTCGAATATTACATCTCATTGTATCATTACGGCTCACGGTATTATTACAGTTCATTTTATTATTACAGTTTACTGTATTATTATAGGTTATTGTGTTATTACAGCTCATTGTATCATTACAGCTTATTGTACTATTACAGCTTATCGTATTATTATAGAGTATTGTATTATTACAGCTTATTGTATAATTACGGCTCATTGTATTATTACAGCTTATTGTATTATTACAGAGTAAGAGTAGTGTATCATTACAGCTCAGTGTATTATCACAGCTTATTGTATCATTACAGCGTATTGTATTATTACAGCCCCAAGTATTATTACAGCTTATTGTATAATTACAACTTACTGTATAAATACAGCATATTGCATTATTACACTTTGCTGTGCTTTATATTTCAGTACATTATCCATTGGTATCAATAGTATAAATCACATTATTGTATAATTACAGCTTATTGTATTATTACAGCTTATTGTATATTATAATGAGAACAGTTTGGTCACTCGGTCCTTACCCAATATTCCCTTGGAATTATTCACTAAACCAGGAATTGAACAGAATCGACAGGGAATTAATTGCTGATTGAGGGAAAAAGTTATTGATTTGGGAAAAAAATCAATCTGGCTATTTTTTTCCCAACTAACAAATTGCAAATTTTAGGCAAAAATCTCCAATAGGAAAACCAAATGTTATTTTTCCGACATTTTTATTTGGGAACCCAATTTTCCTTGTCAGTTTTCAACAATTGCCAGTTTATGGATAACTGAGAGAACGTGCGGCTCCTGGGATTCCTGGATCCCTGAACCCGAGGAGACTCTCGCTAACTGCCCGATGCATTATGGGAATGCGGCCAAGGTTAATGTTGGTGAATATTTTGTAACAATGGGCAGTGTGTCAGGCAGCACAGAGACTTGGCTGCACGTTGCTGGTGATTTTATTTATGGATCGATGACTTCATTCGCAGGCGGAATAATATAACCCGATTCCGTGCGACCTGTTTACTTTGCTTGAAGGTGATTCACAAGCGGATTTCTCTGGAGTCCAGAAAAAGCGTTTTGTTATTCTGCCCTAGATAAGCAACACATTGGAAAATCGCTCATTATATTCCGGTGATAGTAGATATGGACAGAATATTATTATTACCACTGAATTTATTCAGAAACAACAAAAGGGAGATCCCCCAGCGATGTAGAACTACTAATCCCATGATCCTTTGCCAGCCTTAAAGGGATACTCAAAGCACCATAACCACCGCAGCCCAGTGAGTAGTTTTTGAGTTGTTTGACACCAATTGGGGATCTCCTGGCTACCAAAACCGGACCCACTCATTGCCAGAGAAATAACGATTAATTCCACTTCCATATAATGGGACGGCAATGATATGGTGCAACTGGTGGGCTGAGCTGCCTCCAAGACAGTCAGGCTTACAGTGTGCAATAGAAAAAATGGCACAACCCAGCACTAACTTTTATTCAGATATTCTACGGAAAAAACTCTCCAGTGGCCACTCCAATTTAAAGGGACAGTACAGTCACCAAAATAACTTTAGCTTAATGAAGCAGTGTTGGTGTATATATAATTCCCCTGCAGTTTCACTGCTCAATTCTCAGCCATTTATGAGTTAATTCACTTTGTTTACGCCGCCCTTTTCACATCTCCCTGCATGTGACTTACACAGCCTTCCTAAACACTTCCTGTAACGAGAGATCTAATGTTTAAACTTCCTTTATTGCACATTCTTTTTAATTTAGAATTTCTTATCTCCTACTCTGTTAATAACTTGCTATACCCTGCAGGGGCCTCCTGTATGTGATTTACAGAGCAAGAGGTACAACCTCTAAAGTAAGTTACATCTGATTGAAAATGAAACTATTTTGTGTTCATGCAGACTGTGTCTGTCACAGCCAGGTGAGGTGTGGCTAGGACTGCGTAAACAGAAACAAAAGTTATTTAACTCCTAAATGGCAGAGGATTGAGCAGTGAGACTGTGGGAGCCTGTTCTATAAACCAAAACTGCTTCATTAAGCTAAAGTTGTTTCGGTGACTATAGTGTCCCTTTAAGTGATATTTTTTTCTATAGTTTAGTTCATACTCTGTATTATGAAATGTTTAAATATAGCATTGTGCAGTTATTAAATCTAGTCAGGCTTCATTTGGGACCTTGGATTAGTTAGCATTTATATATTTAAATGATATTAAAAGATTTTTCCCGTAGTCACATAAGTGGATTTGTATTCGTTAACCCATAGATGTTGAAATGGAAAAGTCACGTTCGAGTGTCATGTGTTTAAAAGATAAGTTCGAATGCATAAATCAGGAGGCTCTCACAAGACAAATATCAGAGCCTTTTTAACGTAGTCTGTGGCTGGAAATTAGACCCCAAATCAGTGAAACATCCTGTCTGGACCGCAGAAAGTAATCACAGTGTAATCGTCTTGTGGAATAAAAATCCAGATTCACAGATCTTATAAACGGGAAAAGAAAAACTACATATAGTGAAAATCTGATAAAATATAATTTATTGCACATAAGGCAGAATACACCCTCACATCTGAAAATAACAAATAGGGAAAAGTCCGAAAGCTGTTTGGAAACATTATTCAATTATTACAGCTCACAGAATGTCCTACCTGGTGCTTTACCTGCTTCACCCGAGGAAGACTTCATGAGGATCTGGTTCCAGTCCCTGCCGTGGCCCTCTCTGCCGTGGCCCCAGTCCCTTCCGTGGCCCTCTATGCTGTCACCCCAGTCCCTGCAGTGGCCCTCTCTGCTGTGGCCCCAGTCCATGCAGTGGCCCTCTCTGCTGTGGTCACAGTCCCTGCTGTGGCTCTCTCTGCAGTGGCTTTCTATGCCGTGGTCCCAGTCCCTGCCATGGCTCTCTCTGTCGTGGCTTTCTCTGCCGTGGTCCTAGTCCCTGCTGTGGCCGTGTCTGCTGTGGCCCTCTCTGCTGGGCCCCAGTCCATGCAGTGGCCCGCTCTGCTGTGGTCCCAGTCCCTGCAGAGGCCCTCTCTGCTGTGGCCCCAGTCCATGCAGTGGCCCTCTCTGCTGTGGTCCCAGTCCCTGCTGTGGCTCTCTCTGCAGTGGCTTTCTCTGCCGTGTTCCCAGTCCCTGCCATGGCACTCTCTGTCGTGGCTTTCTCTACCATGGCCCTAGTCCCTGCTGTGGCCGTGTCTGCCATGGCTTTCTCTGCAGTGGCCCCAGTCCCTGCTGTGGCCCTCTCTGATGTGGTCCCATTCCTTGCTGTGGTCATCTCTGCCGTGGTCCCAGTCCCTGCTGTGGCCCTCTCTGCCGTGGTCACATTCCCTGCTGTGGCCCCAGTCCCTGCTGTGGCCCTCTCTGCCGTGGTTACATTCCCTGCTGTGGCCCTCCCTTCCGTGGTCCCAGTCCCTGCCGTGGTCCTCACAATAATAAGGATTGTAAGAAGTGTACACAGCAGCTGTAGCGGGCTATAAATCTAGCGGCACATTTCTCTAATTATTATGTAATGCGCTGATAATTAACTTTGAGAATAACTGAGGAATTAGTTTGTACAAAGTATTATCGATTGTTTTTAACTGTTCGGGTACCGGATATAGACAGCTGTGCTCTAGACATGGGGTGTCCATTCATAATGTCGCCTTTATATGGAGCTACAGCGGAGACAGGTTTTCCGCATGTTGTACAATTTAATAAATCGTGCCCACAAGCTAGTTAATAGCTGTGCATGCCTTAACTATTTAGTGGCCATAATATACTTAAATCATGAGCACAATCTACTAAATCATGCGTATAAATTTATTAAATTGTGGGGAGCAGTGCCAGCACTTCATTAAGCACCTACCCCTCTCTTTGCCGCCTCAGCCTGCTCCAGGCCCTGCCTGGGGTCCAACATGGAGGAGAACTCAGCCGGCGCCTCGATGATGGGACTCCACCGCTATGTTTGCTGCTGTGCTCCTAGACCCAAAAGACGCAGGGTTATAATGTGGGGTACAGTGCAGTATGCTCTCCTGTAATGACAGGTGCTATTATAAACAGCGCTATTATAAACACCGCAACATGAGTGAAAAATGATCCCCAAAATTTTCAATCAACATTTCTAAAGTGAATTCTAGAGAGAGGACAGGGGCATGCTCATGGGCTGTAATATTGTGTCTAAGTAACACAATATAATCATACCATCATCACTAAGTACCCCTGAGCAGTACCCCACAAATAATGAGTGATGCTCCCTGCTTCTTCTACAATTATAAAACATTGAATTTAACCCCAAAACAAACACGTAGCTAGCGGGAGATCAGAGAGAACTGATAATGAATTAAAGATTCCGTGCACACTCTAATCATGGCTTTTGGATTTTTATTTTCACAGTAATCAGAAGTAAACAAGTAAATGGGCACTGTGCGTGTAACAAGAGGAAGACTGACTGCCATTAATCGCTCTCCTCCTGCCCTGTAATCCCTCGTTTCAGTGAAGCGTGATTTTGCTCGGCGCCTGGTAATGAATAAAGTGTGCTAGAAACACGTTTACATTGTCCGTCACCTTAAACCTCCTCCTAATCCGTGTTTAAACTGGAGAAAGCAGCACAAGGCAGTCAATGTGATCCTGCGTACCACATCTAATCAACAATCCCACGTGCTGGCTGCACTCGCAAACACCGCCACTGCCTTAATATATTACATATTTATCCTGCACGTTTTATATCATGGTAACAAAAACTAGCAAACGCAATGTCTGCAACAAAAACAACTAACAGTGCAAACAGTGTGCTAACAGTGTGTGTAAACAAATAACTAACAGTGCAAACAGTGTGCTAACGGTGTGTGTAAACAAATAACTAACAGTGCAAACAGTGTGCTAACGGTGTGTGTAAACAAATAACTAACAGTGCAAACAGTGTGCTAACAGTATGTGTAAACAAATAACTAACAGTGCAAACAGTGTGCTAACGGTGTGTGTAAACAAAAAAACTAACAGTGCAAACAGTGTGCTAATGGTGTGTGTAAACAAATAACTAACAGTGCAAACAGTGCGCTAACGGTGTGTGTAAACAAAAAAACTAACAGTGCAAACAGTGTGCTAACAGTGTGTGTAAACAAAAAAACTAACAGTGCCAGCAGTGTGCTAATGGTGTGTGTAAACAAATAACTAACAGTGCAAACAGTGTGCTAATGGTGTGTGTAAACAAATAACTAACAGTGCAAACAGTGTGCTAACGGTGTGTGTAAAGAAACACCACCACTGCCTTAATATATTACATATTTATCCTGCACGTTTTATATCATGGTAACAAAAACTAGCCAACACAATGACTGCAACAAAAAAACAGTGCGCTAGTGGTGTGTGTAAACAAAAAACTAACAGTGCGCTAACGGTGTGTGTAAACAAAAGCTAACAGTGCGCTAACGGGGTGTGTAAACAAAAAACTAACAGTGTAAACAGTGCGCTAACAGTGTGTGTAAACAAAGAAACACTGAGGATTTTATTCAGTAAAATTTGAACTCTAGCTGTGAAGAAAATAGCATGTTATTCAAGACTTTTATTGCCATTCAAGACTTTTTACGTTTATTGATTCAGTAGCCGTAACTACTGAACACCGACCACCCCCCTGGCTCATTATCTTCAAAGAAAACTGTAGATTAAGCGCTCTCCCTGAGTGGCCGCTGTTCGTATAGCCGAGCGGCAGGTGCGAGAGAAAACGGCGGCCATCTTGTTTGCACGAAAGGAGGCAGCGGGACTTGGTCGTTGAGTGTCTGGAACAAAAATCAGACACTCGACTTCCCAAACACTGGTCAAACCAAACGAACGCCTGCTTCCTTTTCCTGAACAGCCAGGAGAGCGCTATTCGGTAGTTTGGTTC